AAAAAAAAAAAAAAAGAAAAGCATTGAAATCCTTAGAATTTTTTTCATAAGCCAAGCTTCCACTGCATGGGTGGGGAGCATGCTGAACTGCTTGCTGGAAGCCACGTGACTGACTGTATCCCAGCCTAGGTGACAGGGCTAGGGAAGGGGATTGCAGCTCGATGAGAACCTCTCAAGGGTGCTTTTCTCTCTCTCTTTGTTACGCACTCAGGTGCACGTATCCTGTCATGAATAAAATAAAATGATTTTATCCATAATTCTAAACAAGACTAGATAACTTTTTTCCCCTTTTTTGAGGCTGTAGATGTCAATGAAAGGAAATTTTATTATATTCTTTCATACTCCAGTTTTTATTTAAGTTCTTGAGGGTTTTTAAATCTTTATTTTATTGTGTCTTGAATGTTGTCTTATAGCTAAAGTATTCTGTTGCATAGCAATACATCCCCTGCTGCTTTTTACTTCCTTTGCTTCTTCCCTTTCTTCTCTGACATTTCGTTGGTAAGCAGTTAAATTCTCAGAAATAACTGTGGTATTGTTAATATAAATACTTGAATTTTAGAGAATGGAGAGATAATATATTATGGTAAGTGAGTTACTATTACTGGTATTTGTATATTTATGTGAGATTTGTTTAGTTAGAACCCAAAATATTACTAGGACAAAAATCTGTATGTTCAAAAGCACCGATTTCCCTGTTGCGGTAATGAGTAATTATTATAGGGTCATAGCAGGTTAACATCATTGATTTCAACTTCAGTTGTGCCAGATCTAGTCGCAAAATGACACATGTAATCCATGTAATTGCTATTAATTGTGGGAAACACAGGAATGTATAGAAAACTTTAATTTCAAATAAATAAGTGTTCACTGAGAAAATTTGAAATATATTTTTATATTTATATTGGGTTCACTTAGAAATAATGAAAGATTGGAGCCGGCATGTGACATGGTGGCTAAGGCATAGACTCCCACATGGCTGACCACGGTTTGAGTCCTGGACCTGTTAACTTGCTTTCTCACTTTCTATCTCTCTCTGGTGCCTGTGCCCTTAGCAAATTAAAAGATAATAACAATACATAAAATTAAATAATTATTTTAAAAAATAATAAAAGATCATCATGAAGACATGAAGATGTCTTCTCTTTTCACCATTTCTCTCTCATCAGCTTCTTTCTTTATCAGTTGCCATTTAAAAGTTACTAGTTGGCTCTAAAATTGGTCTTAAATATAGCTACTTCAAATATTCTTTTTATGGGGCCAGCAGTTGACATAATAGCTATATTGCTGGACTCCCAAGTAGTCAACTGTGGTTCAAGTCCTGGACCAGGTGACTTAAACTCATGTCAGGCACATGTGCGTGGAGTTCTCTTGTGTTGCTAGAAAATTGAGAAGTACTTAAACTGTGACCTCAAATAGGGGTTTTAATAAATTAATATAACTCTTGAATTGAGATAATGCTCATTTTTAGGTTATATAACCTGAGTTTTTATTATAATTCTTTTCCTCTTCATCTCCCCCCCCTTTTTTTTTTTTTTTTAGGTTTTTGCCATAAGGCCTATGCACTAAAAGGAAAGAGAAAGAAAGAGGGAAAGTGAAAAATTACCCCCTGAGGGGGATGGCCATGCCACAATCCCCTCCCTCCGTTTTCCTCTCAGGATTTTGGACATTCACATACATGTACCTAGTGTGACTTTCATGTCACTGGATCTGAGACTCAGACTTACCTGTGATGCCATCTGCTGGCCCTGGACTTTTACTTTTTAAAACAGAATAAAATTAATTCCTTTCAGATAAATGATGAAGAGAAGAGTCTTCGAGAAAAAGAGATTGTTGCCTCATCACCAAATTTAACTGTGTCTATGTTGGAGTCAGAGTCAGTTTATAAGGTATGTAACCATCTAGAGTATTTCCTAGGTTTTGGTGAGTATGTTGCATTGAGTTTTGTATCTGTGTCTAACCCATTTATATAGCCTGTCATCATCACAGCTCCTCCTCCTTCCTACACAAATTTTGTCCTCATTGGACTAAGGGAGAGTCACAATCTGTCTGGGTTGTCCTCTTATACAGACACCCTCCAAATCCTGTCTGGGCTCTGACACCCAGTTCCAGCCTTTTATTTTTTTAAAAGGAATATGTTTCTTGCCTTGCTTGGGCTCCTGCACCTTACTCAGGGCTGTTTTGTGCAAGGACATTCTCATCACCCATTCAGCCCCAACATCCCGTTTGGATTACCATCTTGCATGGACCCCTTTTTGCTGCCCTTGGGCTCTGTGCTTTGGATCTGCCCCCTCTGCGTGGTCTCTCGCTCATTCTACGTGGGTTCTGACACTGAAAGCCTACTTGTCCTCCTGGGGAACATCCTCGTTCACCTACTCGTTCCAGTATCCTGCATGAGCCACCTCATCTTCCCAGGGCCCGTGCACACAGATGATTTACTTTGCACGAACCTACTTTTGGACTGAATAATTCTAGAAAGGGAAGAGAAGAGCTGAAATTCATTTTAAAATTTGATAATCCCAACTGCACAATTTCCATGAGCAAGAACGTGTTGAGTATTATTGAGTGCTAGTAGTTTAAAATCTCACCTCTGCATCAGCTCTCAGTTCCAGCTTTCCTATTCTACCCTTTGGGCCATCATTCAGTGAGCTTTCAAGCTTATTAGAGTGTGGGAATCAATATTTATTCCTCTCTCACCACACATTTCCCAATACTTAGCCTTCATATCATCTTTGGCTTCTGCAAAGGCTTTTTTTTTTTTTTTTTGGAGAGGTTTTTTGCTATAGGACACGTGAGCTTGCCAGACAGAGAGAGACAGAGAGACAGAAAGTGAGAAATCACCCCCCCAGAGGGGATGGCCACACTGCAATCCCTTCTCCTCCGTTCTTCTCTCGGGATCTTGGGCACACATGCACACGCACCTGGCATGAGTTTTAAGCCACCGGGTCCGGGACGCGAACTGTGGTTGACTACATGGGAGTCTGGTGACATAGCCATTACGCTAACTGTTGGTCCCTGCAAAGGCATTTTTTATTTCCATTGTGACCACCCTAGTAAGCTGGAAACATGGAATGTTATAGCTGAAGAACCCATAGGGTCATTTAACCCATCTCTTCCTGCCCTCTCCCAGTTTTCCAGGTTTAACCACTGATAGTTAGAGGCATTCATTAAATAGGCCAAATCATAAGTTTTTTTTTTTTTGTTAAAGAATTATTTTACTTAACTTTATCTACTTATTTATTATTATGAAATGAAAAAAAAGAATTATTTTATTTGACTTTATTTATTTATTTAAATTTGTCTGGAGAGGGACAGAAAGAGTGAGAGAGGGAGGGAGGGAAAGTGAGAAAGCAAGCTGTCCCCCTCTGGGACTCGAATCATGGTTGGTCATGTGGGAGTCCAGCACCTTCAACCACCATGCCACCTCCCAGTCCCTATCAAATCATAAGTCTAATCAGTAGCAGAACATGGACTGGAACTTGCTTCCAACTGCTAGTCCTTTTCTTGCCTTGCTAATTACAGTACATCTCTTACCTGGACCTCCAGCGTGTCCCACGTGAACTTGTTCAGTGTGATATTGCACACCGAACCACTCTTGGAAAACTGTTTGACTCTGTGTCTGTCTTGTTGCTTTCTTAACTAAGTGGTGAACTCTTTAAAGGCAAGGACTGTGTTATAGTTGTAGAAATCAGTAAACTAACCAAAAGCCATTTGTTGAAAAACACATGGTCACTTTATAACGTGAGGTGTTTGATGTACAGAAGATTTAGCTGTTCTCTAAAACTTGAATGAATAGACAATTTGGAGATAGTTTTTCATGCAGTGTTTTACCACGTTTTCGAAAAGAGAAAAACCGTATAGTGCAGACTAAGGATGATTTTCATTATTTACTGATACCATATTCTGCTTATCTCTTAGACTTTTAGGATAGTTCATAGGACTTAAAAAAATCTGATTTTTTAAAATCATAGATATTTATGGCAAATACTTATTTTAATATCAAAAATGAATGCTTATTATTTACATTTCTTATACCAAGACTAGCTTTTCCAATGTATTTCTCTGAGTAAGAACAGATACCTAGATGCAGACATTTGGAATTACTTTACTTATAAGTAAATATTAGCACTGAAGATGATGGATACAAATTAGGGTTCTGCTCAATGTAGAATAAAACATGGGCAGTATCGTAAGAGGTTAATGCAACATGCTTAAAAAGCTCACATTAGTAGTTAGAAATCCTGGGGCTTATAATTTGAAAGTTCGCAGATTCAGGATAAAGAGAAAAGATTGTAACTTGGCTTTCGACTACTATTATTGTTTTTGAAACGTTCTGAAATTAATGTATTTTTCTTTTGCTACCCCTTCCTGATGTTAATGTTTCAGTTTAAGGAGTATAAATTGATCTCTTTGTTTTTCTTTTGGATCCGCTAGGACTAATACAGTTTTTTGTTTATAACTGATAAATGTGAAATGTAGGAGGATTTCAAAATGACAAGTGCTGAGTTATTTTTCCCTGTTTAACTCTGAATTCAGATCCCTTTTGCTGATGCTCTGGATTTGTTTCGTGGAAGGAAAGTGTATTTGGAAGATGGCTTTGCTTATGTACCTCTTAGGGACATAGTGGCAATCATCCTGAATGAATTTAGAGCCACCCTGTCCAAGGCTTTGGCTGTAAGTATGTGTTTATTTCTGTATTTGACATGTTCACATTTTTGATTGTATACCTTAGGTAGTTTTGTCCTTTGTTTCTTTAGGAAATAAGTTAATTAAACTTTCATAATGATTTTTAGATTGCTTACGATGTGTACTGTTAATTCCTAGTTTTTTTTGTTGTTGTTGTTACTTCCTATAATTGGTTTCCTAATTTCTTTCATGTATTATTACTACTGATGAGCTGATTAATTTTGTGAGTGGCCTCTGGGTTTCTTCAGGTTCATGTCTTTTTCCCTTGGAAGATGACCTGCTCATAGGGCCTTTTATGATTAGAGTGAATTAGAGTGATGTGAGGTAGATACAGACCCTAGATTTCTGTTCTGAACTAGTATTTGTGTCAGTAGGGGGCAGTGCAGAGGAATGTCTTTACATTTAAGTCCTGAAGCCCGTGATATGCTAGTGCTGCAGTGAACAGCCAGGCACTGGGTGAAGTTCAGGGTTGCCATACGCAAAAAGGACGTGATCAGTACTTTGGGAATAGTTTGCTAAAAGCATGACTGAGAAGTGGTGATATCTGAAAACTACATATTTTGCAATGATGTTTTTAAATCTTATCTGGTCATTTTATATATTTTCTTTCTTTATTTATTTATTAAAGTTTGGTTACTCCTTGAGTGAGACAAAGAGACAGAGACTGCATTCCCAGCAGGGTCCTGATACCAGGACCCTAGGATCTGCCACCCTAGATCATGGGTACATGGCATATGTGTGTACTGTGTACTCAGAGAGGTCTCCAGATGCAAATAAGCAACCTTTCCAAATGCATTGTGCACATTTTATCATTGACTGGTGCCTTTCTTATACTTAGTGGAGAAGAGAAGTTCAAAGTTATAAGATGTGGCTTTTGAAAGAGAGATTTTTACTATAGGATATGTGCGCTCACTGGAGAGGCAGAAAGAGACAGAAACAGAAGCAAGAACTCACCCTCTGGGGGGATAGCCATGCCGTAGTTTCTTTTCCTCCATTCTCTTCTTGGGATCTTGGGCACGCATGCACATGCACCTGGCATGAGTTTTAAGCAGTCAGCTATGTGAGTCCAGCGATGTAACCATTTCTCCATCTCCTGGTCCCAAGATGAGGGTCTTTTTTTGGAGAGGTTTTTGCTATAGGGGACGTGCGCTCACCAGAAAGACAGAGAGAGATAGACAGAAAGTGAGAAATCACCCCCATCCCCCCGGGGGGATGGCCATGCTGCAATCCCTTCTCCTCTGTTTTCCTCTCGGGATCTTGGGTACGATCACACATGTGCCCGGCGTGAGTTTAAGCCACCGGGTCCAGGGCTCGAACTATCCTCAACTACATGGGAGTCCAGCGACGTAACCATTATGCCAACTGCTGGTCTCAAGATGTGGGTCTTTTAAGCTATACTCATTATTACGTCAGCGTATGTCAAGCTCTCCTTTGGAATTACAACTGATAGTACTTTCTGGTTTAAGTAATTTTTATGATTGACTCTGTGGTTACCTAAATATGTGTAATTCGGCTATAACAGTGTTTGGGAAGACCAAAGTATTCACTTTTTATTAAATAGGGCAATTCATGAAAACACTTACCAAGCATACTAGATGTCTAATTATTAGTAATCTTTCTTCATCCCCAATCTTATGTTATTGCTTTATCCATAAGTGATGCTTTTAAATAGTTTCTTTACTTGTCTGGCATTTACCCTGGGCTACAATCTATTTATGGATAAAAATAATGTCTTTCACTTCTGTGAATCTCTGTGGAGGTCACTGATATTTATCTCCTGGGGGCCATTCCCCTCATTTTATCACTCTTGGTTTTGTTCACCCATTGTCTCTCTTGACATTTTGGGCAGCACTTTTTTGTGTAAAGGAGCCGTGTAACTTTTAAGGACATTGGCTGTCATCCACTAAATGCCAGTAGTGGTTCCGGTCTCCATTACAACCCAAAATATCGTCCTTCAGTAAGCTTCTGGGGTGAGGTTGATGCCACCCTTGAGCTGATCATGGTTTCCTTCTCCTTTCCAAATGCTGGTCTGTGTGTGTGACAGTGTAATTCTAGCTGCAAAATGTGAGAAGTTGTTTGGGGCTTCTGAAAAAAAAAATTTTCTTGATAAAATAGCTTAAAGAAAGTGGGCACACAGGACAACATAGTCTGTTTATCCCTTTTGGATTTGTAACTGAATGTGATCCTGGAATGTCTACAGCCGTTGCGAGATAAGGCGAGTAATGTGAAGACAGTCTAACTTGCTGAATGTAGACTTGAACGAAGATGGAGCGAATCTGAGTCCTTGTTGATGTCAACCCATCCTGGAACCACTAGGAATTCTCATTACATTGGATATTGAGATTTCAGTTTTTTAAGAAACTGACTTAGAAACTTGCATTTCAGTGCGATTCTGTTTCTGGTAGTGGAAAGTACCTTGACGTCAAGCTCTGTGTGTGCATTAGCATTTTCTTGTCCAGTCACAGCTGCCTGTGAGCCAGCCTGTCCTGTCCAATCCATAAACAGGATCTGTTAGCTCATCATATCGAGATGTTCAGATGCCATAGAAATTTCAGACATCGCTTGATCAGTGTGCTAGCTATTTCTCTCCAGTCGTCTTTACTTTTTTGCACTCTGCATAAGAACTCTGCATTTCATTTCTCTTCTTTCTTTCCTGTTCATTTCTTCTCCCCTCCAACATACTTTTCTTAAAAACACACACACACACACACACACAGAAAAGTTACAAGTAAAAAAGAATAACTTTAAAAAATTATTTATTTAATTTTATATATTCATTCATTTATTTTAATTTGACCAGAGAGAGGCAAAGTGAGAAATCAAGTCACTAGGTTTGGGATTTGACCAGCCATGTGGGAGTGTCTAGTGCCTTAATCACCATGGCACCTGCTGGACCAAAAAACAATAACTTTGTTGCTCAAACTTATACCACATGCATTTGTGAAAAGTTCCCAACCTGAGGTCTCATATCCCACAGTATTTTTAGTGTATAATCCCTACAAACAGGACATTTTCTACTTAGCCCAATTCATCTGTCGGAATAAGGACATACTCGTATGTTAGTACTGTCTAATCTGCAGGCCTTATTCAGGTTTCACCATTTGTCCAAATCTGGTCCCTTATTTCAAAAGGATTCAAACCTATATTACATATGTTATGTACTTGTCAGGTCTCTTTAGTCTCCTTTAGTCTCAAACAGACCCTTTGTTTAACTTTCACAGACTATGGTACTTTCAAAAATGATCAGTTATTTTGTAGAGTATCACTCAGTTTGAGATGATCTGACTGGATTCATGCGTTTTAAGCAAGAATATAATAGAAGTGATATTATGTTCTTTTTATTGCATTCCGTCACGACTTGACGTTTTAGTTTATTTTATTCACAATAGAGAGTTCAAGTACATGTGATAGTGAGAGAAGAAGAGAGAGGATCTTTTCACACCATGATGCCCTTCGCACAGGCTTCCTGCTTGTCAGAATCTTGGGCGTACATGTGCACCCCACATTTCAGATTGACCAGACTGGGGATCTGGACCTGAGGTTGGACTTGTTGCTTCCAACATCGTAGTTTAGTATGCTACCAACAGTGCCACTGAGGCTGGACTGACATGATTATTATTATTATTTTTGCTATAGGTTATGTGTGATTGCTAGAGACTGAGAAAGTGAGTAATTACCCCCTGGAGAGAAGGCCACACTGCTGTCCCTTCTCCATTCTCTCCGGATTTTCAGCACAGCGTGATTTTGAGGTTGCTGGGACTAGGACTTGAACTGTGGAGTCAGTCATGTGGGATCCAGCCACCTTAACCTCCACGCCACCTTTTGGCTCTGGGCTGACATTTCGATTAATTCCAATTATGATTGACTTATCAAAAAATTTTAACCTGTTTTTGATGCGCATTTGAGTTTTATTTATTTCTCTCTTTTGATTTTTGGTTTATTTATTTTTAAAGTGATTTTTGCTATAGGGCACTTGTGCTCACTGGAGGGACAGAAAGTGAGAAAGCACCCCCCAACCCCTCCCCCAGGGGTATGCCCACGCCTCAATCTCTACTCCTCCATTCTCTTCTCAGAATCTTGGGCACACGTGCACACATACCGGTGTGAGTTTTTAAGCAGCCAGGTCCAGGACTTGAACTGTGGTTGACTACAGGGGAGTTCAGCAATGTAATCATTACACCATTTGCTGGTCCTGTTTTTTTGGTTATTTCTAGTACTGCTGCTCTGAACATTTGTACATCTTTTGGCAAGCACATTTTTGCCTATTTGTATCTAGGATTGGAACTACAGGGTATAGGAAATTTATTTGATTAGCTTTTGTGGATTGAGATTTACTTTCAGTGAATTTCTCCTGATTATTGGTGGGTTGTGCAGCCTCAGTGTCTTAGACTTGACAGAAGAGGGACAGTACCTTTCTTGTTCTCTTAGACAGTGCTTGACTTTTTCTTGGGTGGTCAGGGACAAACCTGGTTGAGAGGACATCTCGAGAGTCCTTTGCCTTATCAAGCAGGAGAGTGAATGGTATATATTGCCTGGGGACCTGTCCTGACAGGTGTGCAAGGGAGAGGAAGGGAAGGAAGGAGTGAACTGCTTTTAGGGCTGTGGGGAAATAGAAATGTAAGCCGATTGCTGTGCATGTTTTATTACTGTCCTTTCTAGTGAGGGAGCTTTGACTTTGGAGTATGTAATTGAAAATTTCCAGCTTTATAAATTGAAATATTCTTGTAGGATGAGAGGAAGTGCCCTAAAGTGGATTTAGAAAGGTATTTTAATTAGTGATAGAGGATAAAATAAATGATGCCAGGGGAAGTTGTACGTTGATAGAAAAGTTTTACCCCAAGTAATATCTGAAAGCTTGTTCTTAACCTGTAATCATGTGATTTTTATAGTATAATAAATCTGACTTTTCAACATGCTTTGGGATGGGTAAAAATTTGGCATTCTTTGGTTAGAGCCCTTTTATTACTCGACCAACCCATTGAGACTCA